TGAACCCCAGTCGAGATGAGTTACCGTTCATGGAGGTGGTGGGATGCTGGATCTCGAAGTAAACAAAGACGAAACCGAAGCTGACCTCGAATCAACCAAAGAGTGGACCTATGGGACTTCCTGCACAGCTCCGCTTGGGAACCGTCGGGGATCAACCCGCCACCCGGAATTACGAAATGAGATCTAAGCTAATCGGAGTCGAAATCGCTGAAATCGAGTGCGAGCCAGTGGGGATGTAGTGAATCTGAGGTAGGATGGTGGTGGATTACCGTAGATCGTCGGTGATGGCGCCGCCACGTGAGTTGGGTCGCCACCGGTTAACTAGCGTCGGAGCTGGCCGATGAAGCCTGCCGCCCACGCCGAGGAAAGGGAGTCTCCAATACCACTTGTCACGCCCCGTTGCCGCCGGCCAGGCCGTCGACATGAGGAGATCGAGAGGGATTGCGAGATGGTAGAATGGCAGAGGAATCTCCCCTGAACCGAGTTCTATTATCAGATAAGCAATCGTTCTCCAAACCGGATACAACATACAACTCATGCTTAATACCCAGTCTTGGCCAGTGGCCCACACGTCATACAAACACGTTTACATAATGATAGAAATACGCCTTCTCCAGTGTAACACGGCTTCCTCTAACGCATTGCTCGTCTTTAAGTGGTTGGCGCACCAGGTGTGACAGGCCGCAAAAGATCCAACTCATGATCTTAGACCTCGCACGTTGCCTCTTAACACTTTGCCTCAAAGTTTTTTTTTACCAACTAACTAATACATTATTCACTTTAGTAAATATTATAATGCATATTTGAGACCATAGATGAAATCAAATTAAAAAAAACTTTAAACTAGAAAAATGAAGATGTCTCTGAGTACTACAGCTTTGATTTAGGTAGTTTCTCCGTCTATAGTCATTTGAAAAATTCAAAAAAATATGAATACCAAAATCATTAATCTAAAATAGAATTTTTGGGTATTAAATGATTTCAAACGAAAAGTCATCAACTACAAAGTTCCATATCTTTGAGTACTACAACTTTAGTTTAGGTTATTTCTCATCTGAGGTATTTTAAAAAATTAAAAACTAATTTTCAAAATCTTAAAATTAAAGAGAATTTTCTAACACTAACAATTTTAAATGAAAAATTAGTCAACTACAAAGTTGCTAATCCCTTTGAGTACTATAACTTTAGCTTAGATAGTTTCTCCATCTGAAGCCATTTGATTTTTTTTTTAATTTGGCCTTAAATAATCTCAAATGGAAAAACTCATTAGTGTGGTTTTTCTGTGACTTTTTTTTTTCCCTTCTTCCAGCTCCTTGTATATGACAAAGCAATGTTAACGTCAGCAAAAGAATATGCCAGGTCAGTGTTACCGACAGCGAAAGATTTGTCTTGGCTAGATGTGGAGCCGAAGATTTTTTTACTGTGTTATTAGTATCTTGTTATCAGCACTCAAACACTGGACCGCCAATTCAAAAGGCTTAAGAAAAAATGTTCATGCTAGCTAATTCATCTAAGATTACGACACTAGTAGTGGTTGCTAAGTAAGCAACCATGGTTACAACAAGCTGGTACGGTACCTCGATGAAGACGAGGAGGGCGCCGAACTTGGGCGCGATGTCGAACATGAATCCCGTGTTAGTGGCGAACCACTCGATGTCGCCCTCGTTGCCGGTGTAGACGAACAGCGGCCCGGCGCCGGCGTCGTTGCCACCGCTGGGCCTCCGCCAGAAGGTGTCGTTGAGGAGGTACTTCTGGCGGAAGACCATGGACGCGTTGGGCGTGAAGGTGAAGTGGTCCAGCTCCTGCGCGAAGTAGTGCGCCGTGAAGGGCTTCTTCGCCGCGGTACCGTTGGCCGCGCCGCTGCCGCTGCTGCCATCGGCGGCCGCGGCGACGAGCTCACCGCCGCCCCTGATGCTGCTGCTTGCCCGCTGGCGCTGCAGAGCTTGCAGGTGCAGAGGAGTGACGGCCGGGAAAGCAGCAGGCTTCTTGGGGGTGGAGGACGACGGCCGCGCTGCTGCTAAGATTGGTGCTGCCGAGAAGGACGCGAGGAGTAGCAGAAGTGGCAGGAAGCAGGCGCGCAGAGGAGGCGCTGACGATGACCAGGCAGCTGGTGCCGCCATTGTTTGCCGTCCTCTCGTCAGTCGTCACTCTTGGTGGGGATTTTTAAAGGAAGGCGCACGGGCGGCGGGCGGGCGGGCGGAGGAGAGTCAGACGAGGACGATTGTGCCTTGTTTTTGAGGAAAAACACGATTTTGCCTTGTGATTGACGGAGGAGGTTGTACGTTTGGCCCGGTGACTCGAGCGAAGTTTGGGAATTTCGTGGCGGTTTTGGGGATGGTGTCGCCCGGATTGGCACGAACACGAAACGGTTGTCAGTCACCGCCTTGGACCGTGTCGCCTAGCTGCTTCTTGCTTACGCCGCGTTGTTGTGTTGAAATCGAAATGATTCCTTTGTAGTTGTAGGTATCTTGTGCGCCTTGCTTTTGTAAAAGGTACGGGTACTACAGAACGAATTGCACTATGTCGAGGCAAAGTGCTCTGTGTCGTCCTAGCCGTGACACTGTAACAGGACAGTGGGCCGGCCAAGCGATTTGATACGGTGCGTTCGTTTTCACATCCCACGGCCGAGAACAACCAGGAGCAGTGCCCCCCTGTCTGTTCAACGATGGCGCTCATGAGTGACGAGGACCGCGCCCGCGCATGCATCGTAGGAGCTGAGCTGGTAGAAAACTCTTTTTTCTTGAATACACAAAAGATCTATGTATCTTTATAATTAAAGTAGAAATGTTTAATACAGACAACGTGCTTTAACGAGCGCCCTTTTCAGGATTACCGCAGTTGGCTGGACACCGAGCTGGTAGAAAACTCACTGTGCTGCGCATGCATCTTCAGTCAGCTGGAACAGTACAACAACGACGGCGATGAGCCAGCCGACCCGAGGTGTATGGCCCTGTGCGACTGGCCCGTAGCATCACCGGCCATTCCTACCAAGACCAGTCCTCACTGATAGTGGAAGGCGCGACGTTTCCTTCTGGGAGTGCGTGCGCTGGGGCATGGCATGGGCCAAGCGTTTGCGTGCAAGAAAAGTGCCTGTCCCTGTTGAAGATGGTCTGCGGACTGCGGTGAAGCTCCGGTGCCCCCAGGAAAAACAAACGCAGGGGAGACGACGACGCCAACGCGGCTGCGGCGAGCACACATTCCGGGGGATTGGCTTCGTTTTCGTTTTGCCCCCGCCGCCCCGCCAAATCCAGTGGAGGAGCGCCGGGAATCCTCGCGGGTCCACCGCTGTCGCCAGTGTCCGCTGCGATAAACACCAGTGCGGCACACGTCAAAGGTGATTGGGCGATTCCATCCGCTGCGCGCGGGTGCGGCAGAGGGATGGATGGATGCGTATTCGCCTGCGATTTTGAGTGTGACCATGACCGGAATCTGGAACTGCCGGACTGATTGGGTTGGTTGATTGCCTGTGCTAACCAGTGACTACCGAGTATACTGACTGATGAGTGGATGGCCGCCGGATCAATGCCGCATACTCCCACGGACAAAATTTAAATAAAATCAGACACAATTCTGCTAGACACAATATAAATCCGGTCTAGTTATTTGCTCCCATGTATGTAATTTAATCGCTATAGTAAGATTTAGCCTGTGTTTGGCTATTGAGGAGGCAAGTCGCTATATAAATGGCACAGCCCACGATTTAATACACTGGTTTCAACCCGTGAACAAGGTAAGATGTTTGGTTTGAGAAATCGCTCTATTTTAGATGAATGCATCATAAATTTATTCTTCAAATTTAGTAAAATATTGACTTCATTCTTTGTACTAGTAGTAAGACTTTATCTCATTTCTGAAATCAAATATAATATTAGTGTTTCTTTCGCCTCCAGAGGTTGTATATGCTTCCTTCCTTAATCCTTATCATCAATACAAATTAATACGATATTCTACCGGTTCATTCAAAAATTTTGCACAGGCCATACTCCCTCCATGTTCCTAAAAGAAAAGGTTTGGGTTGAGCATTAGCAATATAAATCGTGAATAACTTTTAAGTTGTTGAGTTTAAAAATATGAAAACCATATTAATAGATTTGTCTTGAAAAAATACTTTCATAAAAATATACATATATCACTTTTCAATAAATATTTTTTATAAAAATAAGAAGTCAAAGTTATGTTTTTGAGACCATGTCGCTGTCCAAAACAACTTTTTTAGAACATGGAGGGAGTATGGTAGCACAACCGTGCTCCTTTCCCACTCCAACAGCGATATCCATAGCCAATAAGAGAGCTCCTAGTAAACAGAGTTGAGTATACATTCCACCATTTGTGTTTATACTAAGTTTGCAAGCCTCTCGTTAATATGTGTGTATGCCTTTATAGTAAGAAAACCATGTCCTCGTAGTCTGAGGGTCATTTTAAAATAATGAGTATTTTGCAGTGTATGCATAGGGGTGAGTATGTCGAGTTTACAAGTTTAGAGTATGTTTGGATCGTGAGTGAGATATCGATGACCTGCAAATATTCCACTTCATATCTTAGTGTTTGTTTTGGAGACATGTAGGATATAGAAGCGTCCTAAGAGAAAATATTCCTCTAAGACATTGTTCCTCCTCCCTCCAAAATTGAGGCCGATTCATCCCTTCCTGACACCTTCGATCTCCGTTTGCACGTTCATGTCATCTCCCTTCTTCCTCCTTCGCTTCCGAGCTCCACCTCTACCACTAGTCGATCCGACCATGTTGCGGCATACCCCTGTTGTCCAAGCACCACTATTGGTTGGGCTACGCCAAGCGGACCACTCCACACCGCCATCAGTTCGGCCTACTGGTGCTGTTCAAGCCCCATTTGTGGCCATTAGCCGGGTCATGCTGGTCGGGAGCCTCTGCCCTACCGCAAGTTGAGTTACATCGGGCAGGCCCCTTCGCTCTACCACGAGCTCAGAACAAGGTGACGCACGCCAGTCTCTGGCCCCATGCCCTTGATAGCTCTTCCCTTCTCTAGACAAGGCTGCCATGGCCTTCTTCTTTGTTGTGTGTGGCCGAGATCTTGGGGCCACGAACGGTAGCTAACAGATCTGGAAAACGCCATTCCTGGTGTCCCTCACTAGCCCTGCCACCACCCTCCCTGGTCCTCCTACTACCAAACACGATATGGGTGACACTATCCCCATAAACAAACACACACGTATGAATAGGATTATCTCATCCAAAAAAACTAGGATGAACCAGTTTGCCGTACCTCGTCCATAAACCAAATGCAACCGGCCTTAGTCACATCCTTTTTCTTTTAACACAAAAAACTACGAAGGCAGAGCATGGATCTAGTAGGTTGGATAGGACACCTCTAATAGTAAGAGTCATGTACCACTCTTGAATACAATCTCATCATGATGTATACCTACAGGTGAGAATCATGTAAGGGTGTTCCCAACAGATCAGCTACGTTAAGAGCAGCTGCCATTTCTCGTCTGACATTGAGAAGAGAGGAGACTGGAAAATATGAGTCCCTAGTTTAGCACGGTTTCTAAAGAATCTAGTCTATGCTCTCCTAGGTCCATTCGTCTTTGCGTCAGGTTTTTGCTTTTTTATTCTTTTTTGGTGCTAGGTCAGCTAGCGAAGTCGCTAGCCTCGCTAGTGACGCCCTAATAGAGAGAGGAGCTATGTTTCCATACATTTGGCATGCACAAAGAGCTTAGCTCTTCTATTCCTATTAGTTCAAAGGATTTCTTTTTTTTGTGAGACCCAGCGTAGAGCGCACACTCACCCCTATAAACGCACACATACACACCCTACCCCTATGAGCACTTTCGAAGAACTAAAGTCGGACCGGCGAATCTCAAGATTGACGAAGTCTGAAACAACCCCGATTTCCGCGAAGGGAAATCCACAGAGTCGAAGTGTAATAGGACCGTTGTAGATCATATTACCCAAATTCCAGTCGAATATCACATCCATACAACGATAACATCAGAGTACAAATAGTGCGGAATTACATAAATTTATTACATCGCCGCATTGGCGGAATCAAAAGTAGCATTCATTCATTCAGAACAGCTTGAAGATAAGATCGCCAAACTCGAGCGTAGGAACGAACCCCTCAACCGTCCAACTCCTTAGAGCTATACTCCTCAGCAGAACCTGAGTACCAAAATTTATCAGCCGTCCAACTCCTCGGAGCTATACTCGTCGGAGCGCGATGTCGAACATAAAGCCGGTGTTGGTGGCGAACCACTCGATGTCTCCCTCGTTGCCGGTGTACACGAACAGCGGCCCGGCGCCGCTGCCGCCGCTGGGCCTCCGCCAGAAGGTGTCGTTGACGAGGTACTTCTGACGGAAGACCATCGACGCGTTAGGCGTGAAGGTGAAGTGGTCCAGCTCCTGTGGAAAGTAGTGTGTCGTGAACGGCTGCGCCGTGCTGTTGGTGCCATCGTCGGCGGCGGCCATGGTGACGAGCTTGGCGTCCGAGCTGCTCGCTCGCCGCTGCTGCTGCCGAAGAGGCTGCAGATGCAGGGGAACGATTGGCGGGAAAGGATTGGGGCTGCGGTGCGCTGAGGTTGATGCTGGTGAGAAGGCTGCGAGGAGCAGAAGTGGCAAAAAGATGAGCACAGCAGGTGCCACCATTGTTGCCTCTCTCTCTCTCCCGCTGTCTTTAGCACCACTCTTTAATAACAACCAAGGCGCACGAAGAATAAGGAGGCTGCGACGAGGCTGCCGTGCGCTTTGGTAATTTCAGCCGATTCGCCTTGTTGGGGTTGTGTGTCTGGCTTTGGCCTGGTGACACGAGCAAATTTCTGAAATTGCATTGGTCAGCGTCTTTGCCCATGGTCTTGCCCGAATTGGCCAGAATGTTTGTTAGCTGCCGGTTTGGACAGAGCCAAGTTCTTGATTGCGACGCATAGCTTGAAGCGGGCTCATCCATATGGATATCATCTAAGCCCTGCTTCAGTAAACGTATACGAATAATAGCGCAGAGCAGTGGCGGATTTAAGATAAAAGCTCAGGGGGGCTTGAATACAAACTCTGCCAAAAACATAAAGCTACGGTCTAGGAAAACAAAGGCTTAGACCATCTATACGGTTTTCGGTAGAAACATTTGTAACACCCTGCGTCCAAAAACTGCTTATATGATCCAGCTCCGCACGTGGAATAGGCCTGCATATGTGTAGCACCTCTCTTACGTTTTCATCATCGCTTCGTGTAAAAAGGGTTAACCCGGAGATGCTACGTTTGGAACGACAAGGCTTATAAACTAGTCAAAGGATGCGTAAAAGGGCTTCTTTTCTTTTGTTGGATTCCAACTTTTATAACATGTGTTTCAAGTGAAAATGTAATTTTTTTAAAGCTACCGAGACATTAAGGGACCAAAACTAAGAAAAGAATGCCAAAGGACGCGGAAAAGGGCTCCTTTTCTTTTGCTGGAATTTTGACAAGTAGTAGAGGGTGTACCATGTCAAGGGAGGCCGAGAGGACAAGAGCCAAGAGGCTTTGCTATTCGGCCGAAATAAAGGCCACCGGGGGAGAGGAAAAGGAACCTATTCCTTGGCCCATGTCTCAGCTTCTTGAACCTCAAGACAACCAGAAGCATCCTGTATCCAGCTTCCAGCCCCTCCTCCTAATGCATCCGTGGCCAAATATTCTTGGGGGGCTTCAAGGCATCAGCAGCGGTAGGAGGGCTCGAGCCCCTCCCGCCCCACCGCTGCATCCGCCCTTAGCACAGAGGCATTTTCATCGTAGCATCATTAGTGGAGGTTTTTACCTTTTAACGTATACGATAAATTAAAAACTCAATAACACGTGGTATCTGGTCTTATATGTAATTAACAGAAGCCATAGTATATACTCCATGTTCCTAAAGGAAGTTGTTTTGAGCTTAAGTTAAACATTTTAAACTTTGACTACAAATAAATTCTTTTGGGTTAAGTTCGAAAATATGAAAGTGATATAAGTAAATTCATCTCAAATGTAGTTTTATAAAAGTATAAATTGACTATATTTTATAAAAAAAGTAACAGTTAAAGTTGTTTTTAGAGACCATGCATATGTCCAAAACGACTTCTTTTAGGGACATGGGAGTATGAAAATTACACGTGAAGCGGTGGCATAGATGATATCTTATACCATTACAAACTGAAGGCCCCTAAATGAGTCTCTAAGTGTAGGAAGAATTAGCTCCGGTAATACATAGTAGCTAATCATATAAGATAAATCAGATGGTAGCACACAAGACACATGGATTATACTGGTTCGGGCACATGGTGTCGTGCGTCCAGTTTAAAGGTGGATCTCTCTGTTTTCATATGCTCGGTTACAGAGGCTGCTGCATCTAGCTATGCACTAGAATGTAGAAGATGGGATCCTGATCCGGAGGCCCCTACTCTCTCTTATATAGCCTGATGAGTAGGGTTACAATAAATCCGATTGGCTAACAGATTAGCTTCCTAGTTTGTTACATGAAATGCACAACAGAATGATTCTACCCTATCGTCCAGATATGATGGCGTCGGATATCCTCAGAGTCTTGTCCTCCAAGATGGTGGATTCGTCTAGCCTTTATGGGCTTCATCCTTCGTCAGCTTTGGTTCGGTTGATAGGCATGGTCGAATATACGAGCGGTGTAGGTAACTAGGCCCATATATCTGACACTAAGTTTATCCTTATATGAGATGCATCATAAATAAAAAATAAAATTCTAGAAATTATCATAAAAATAAGATACATATGACCATCAGTTTGGTGGATTTATATATATATATATATATATATATATATATATATATATATATATATAATCAATTGCAATGATACTCATTGAATATATGTCCTGTTTCTAAAAATTATCAACCATCGTAATTATGATAACAATATAAAGTAACTCGCCTAAATCAACATCTTAACTGGCCACATATCACATTATGAAGATAATCTAAAAGAACACCCTGAATCTATGTCTAAGTAACTTACATAGGCCATTTCGAAAGATAATATGAAATAACCTAAATTTACATATAAACTTCCACTCTTGCCATTAATTCAAAATAAATCAAATAGCATATTAAATATGTTCCTAGCAGCATTGTTGGGAACGATGACCTCAAGGGTACTAGTGAACGGACAACTAACTCAAGAGATTAGGCATGCGAGAGGCCTCAGGCAGGGAGACCCCCTATCACCGCTGCTATTCATTTTAGCTATTGACCCTCTCCAACGTATCATCGAAGCTGCTGCGCAAAGGGGCATCCTAAAACTGGTGCTACCAAAGGCAGCCAACTTACGCTGCTCCCTCTACGCCAATGACGCGGCGATTTTTGCCGATCCAAGCAGCTTGGAACTCGATCACCTCTACAAGATTTTGAATTTTTTCGGTGAATGCTCCGGGCAGAAAATCAATATCTCTAAGACTGAAATCTTCCCAATAAGATTAGACACCACGGTGGTGAGTCAATTGCTACAAAACTTCCCGGGGAAGATAGGCAAATTCCCAGGAAAATACCTAGGGTTCCCTCTTCATGTTCGGAAATTATGCAAAGTGGAAGTGCAGCCATTGATAGATAAAATAGGGGCTAGGCTGCCAGGTTGGAAAGGAAGGTTCCTTTCCACAGCCGAAGGGAAACACTGGTAAAGACAGTACTATCAGCGCAGCCGATTTACCATTTGGCCGTGTTCCCAGAACAAAAATGGCTAATCAAGAAGATTGATCGGCTGCGAAAAAGCTTCCTATGGAGGGGAGAAACGCCAGATAAAGTATATGGAGGCATTCCATCATCAACTAGCCAACGACATGCCAGCCCAAGGAAAAGGGAGGATTAGGGATTCCAGACAATGAACGCTTTGCAAGGGCTCTGAGACTAAGATGGCTATGGTTTCAGTAGAAGCACAGGGACAGGGCATGGAACGGCCTGGATCTTCCAGTCATAGTAGAGACAGGGACCTTTTTGCCGCATCAACAGAGGTAACAATAGGGGATGGAAATCTGGCCTAGTTCTGGCAATCATCATGGGTCGATGGAAGAACACCAAAAAAAATCACACCGACTTTGTACAAGAAGGCGGAAAGGAAGAACCTGTCAATAAGAAAGGCTTTACAAGATAACCGATGGATCTCTCATATAACCCCATTAAGTACAACACAAGAAATAAGAGAATATGTCACGCTATGGGAGGCTGTAGGGCAAACACAACTCCATGAGGACAGGGAAGACAATATCCGGTGGCGATGGACGGCAAATAGGGAATACATAGCAAAGAGTGCTTATGGCATTCAATTCCAAGGATCATTTAGCAAATTGAGAATACTGCCGATTTGGAAAGCAAAGGCGGAGCCCAAATGCAAATTTTTCGCGTAGACGTTGTTACACAAAAAAAATTCTTACAACCAACAACTTGATCAAGCGCAATTGGTCGAATGATCCGATTTGTAAGCTGTGCGGTATCGATCCAGAAACACCAACACATCTTTGCAAGGATTGTGTTTTCTCAAAGTAAGTTTGGTCCGTTTTAAAACAATGGCTTGGATTATCAGTACTAGACACGGTGCCAATGGGGGGATCCATTCACAAATACGGGCGAAAATGCTGCACAAAAATTAATAAAGACCAGAGACAGGTATTTGACGGAATAATGATTTACCTATGGTGGAATGTGTGGAAGGAGCACAACCGAAGAATTTTCCAGAACACATCGATGCAACCTAAGACAAGTAGTTTTTCTTTGCAAAGAAGAAATAGAGCAACACCAGTTGGCGATGAGGAATCATGGGGGGATCCAGCAGAATCAACAATCTTAGCTATAGCTGTGTTCTTTGGTTAGGTTTTGATCAATGGTGTGTGTTCTGCTTCAGAGGAAGCTCTCTCTGTTTTCAGTCGCTGGGTAGGGGGAACAGGTCAAGGAGGTGGCCTGGGGGCCGAGTTAGAGTATTGCTTAGTGGCCTGTTTCATATTGTAATTCTTTTGTAATCCTGTTTTTGTTTTCTATCGTCTAATCAAAATCCAGCAAAGCTCTTGCCGTCTTTCTAAAAAAAATGCAACTAGAGAAAAATATCATAAAGTGACCTATACATATATGCTTTTAAATAACCCATTTCTACTAATACTAATCAATATAGAAAAAAATAAGTTAAAGTAAACACACATGTTGTGTGCCACAATATAAAGTATATTTGTATACATGCGCGATGAGTATGTGTTGTCGTGGTTTAGCAATCATGAAAAATGTTTCCTTAATGAATCGCATAACATGTACACTATTTTGAATTGCCTAATAATCCTTGATAACAAATTATTCTATTTGTTACATTGGAAAATCCTGTGCATTTTGATTGGGACATTATAGGTATCTGCATCAATAGTTTAATTGTAAGCCCTCCGTTTTTTTTTAAAAAAAAGGTACATTACTACATTCATATTCATAATTCTTGAGTGTTATGGTGCAGGCTCGAATGACTGTTTGTGCGAGTGTAGTAACTAATAGTGAAGGTTAGGAGCTAGAATCCATATTTTTTAAAGAAAATAATAAGATAGTCTTCAATAAGGGGTATAATAAGCCCTAAGTTTCACCTTTATATGCAGACAAAAAATGCAGTAGCTAACGAGATCAAATTGGAAAACCAAAATCTAGTAGTATTAA